CTTACCATCTGAAAACTGGGGGCGGGCGCTGGGGGGAGGTGAAGCCCTGACCTCCCAGAAAGAGCTTTGAGCCTCCAGCATGGAGGGAAGTCCCCCTTCACTCAATGTGGAGGTACTGAGCCCCGGGAGGAGATGCTCCTGCGCAGCCCCACTGAGTCAGCTCATCACCGCCTGGAGAGCACGGCCTGCCCTCCACCTGGCCAGTCCCTGCGGCCATCTACTGACTGCTAAGCCTTCGCTCAGCCAACACCCAGTTGGTCAGCCTGGTCACAGTCCAGCAAAAAGAGGGACTGACACTGTAACCCACCAGTGACACCACTCTTCCCGGCTGGATGGTCAGTTGGCTCTGGCATGAGAGAATGTCATTGCCAGTGAGCGCCATCCTCAGGGTCCCACCCCCCACACCTGGCTCCTGACTGAACATTTCTTCCCAGTACTTCCAGCAGCCAGACGCTGGCGCCCAAGCTCGCCGGCTGTTGCTGAGGGCCTGTAGGTGTGTCCAGGACTGAGTGGTGTAGTGGAGACAGGTGAAAGGAGAGTGGAAAGGCAGGGAAAGGCTATTGTCCTTATTGCCACTCTTCCCACCCAGCGCCCACCTGTTCTCTGCCCCCTCGACATCCCTCTGGCTTGGTCACCTGTGCGTGTTAGAGGCTGGGCCCCAGTTCTCTGGGGATCCTGTACCCAAGGGCCTGGGCGTGTGTGTCTCATGCTGTCTCCTGGTCACAGGAGCATGTGGTGTCTGTCATTTCATGTTCACAGGTGTCTGAAGTGGCTATTCATTGAGCGATGGGGCTGGACTTGAAGGAATGCCAAGGTGTGGACGGGTTGATGTGTGCATGAGCTTCTGTGTTTGCTGTCTCAGAAACTCTGTGACGGTTGTCAGAGACACTGAGAGGGGGGTGTGTGCATGCCACATTTAGCCTCGCTGTTTACAGCCAGTTCAGTAAGTTTCTGTGTCTCACTGTGTGTGTGTGTGTGTGTGTGTGTGTTACTGTGTGTGTGTGTGTGTGTGTGTGTATACAGAGCTGTGTGGGTGTTGTCTGAGTGGGACATGGGGGGTTGGGAGAGGAGCGTGAAAGACTTGAGGCAGGGTGGCCTGGCCCCTGGTTTGTCTTTGGTTGTAATGGGGTGGGAGGCGGTGGGATTCGGGAAGGTCTTCTGGGCCTGTCCTCTCTTGCCCTCTGTGTCTCTGACTATGGGCTGAAGACCCAGTGGAGAGAGATGAGGTGACTGGGGGTGTTGGAGAACGGAGAGCCCAGATGGCTCTGTGCTTCTCTGTGCTCCTCTGCTTGGCTCTGTGCCCCGTGTTTCTGAGCCTGCTCTATTTACCTCTTGCATTGTGGCTCTCGATCTGTCTCTGCCTGCCTCCTATCCTCTGCCTGCCTTTGTGTCTCTGCCCCGGGCTCCTCTCGGCTCTGTGTGGCTCGGATGACTCATCTGGGATAGGCATGAAGGTTACACAGGGGAACAAGAGCCCCGCTGTTCCAGAGAGAGGTGGGGGTGGAGAGTGGCACCCAGGAATTCTGAGCCAGTCTCCTGGGACTCTGGCCGCCTGCTCCCTAGCGCTGGACCCTAAGGGACCAGGCGTGATGCCTTCTGGTTTTAGCCTCTCCTTGATAACTGAGTGCCCCCCACAACTCAGTCATCCCCCTCAGCTGCTGCTTCAGAGCTCTGGGGTCTCAGCTGCCTCTTACATTCCTGCCCTAGTGCATTGTGGGAGCAGCTGAAGGAGGACAAAGGGATGGGGGAGTATCCCCCACTCCTCCTACCTCCTGGGGTGACCTGCCTTCCTTGTCTTTAGACCCGCCCTCATCTCCAAGGCAACTCAGCCTTTCCTCATTCCCTCAGAGGCAGCCACCTTCTGGAAGTGGGAACTGGGGGGACTGGATGTCTGGGTCTCAGGAAGGCAGAGCAGGGATAACTGGGCCCAAGATGCCCTGAACCTGATAAGAGGTGGCAGTCGAGGCCCTCAGGACTCTAGGGCCTGGAGACTTCACTGTGGGGCTGTGGGACCAGTACAGGTTAGGACAGCTTTTCCTGTAGCAGGGGAGGGGAGAGTAGTTATTTGGGTTTGTAAGGAGATGCCATTTAGAATTGTTTTATGTGGGGTACGCTTCCTGGACCTGAGGAACAGAGTAGGGATTTTGAAACTTTAATGGGCACAGATCACCTGGGAATTGTGTTAAAATGCAGATTCTGATTCAGCAGGTCAAGGGTGAGCCTGAGATTCTGATTTCTGCCATGCTTCCAGGTATTGCTGATGGTCCAGGGACTGGAAGGTGCTGGGGTCCCCTCTGCCCTTGTCTTAGAAGTCTAGACTCCTATGTGAGAGGGCAGCAGGGTCAGCTGGTCCAGGCTTATCTGATGTTTAATTCTATCATATCCTCAACAAGGAATTGCCCAACCTTTTCTGGGACATTTATTTTTTAAAATTCAAAATGAATTTCATATTCTTTTACATATCATATGGTTTTACATAAATGCATTTATGTTATAGGATTTAGAAAAATAGTACAATCAACCTGTCTTTTTTTATTTGCTTTTCTTTTGCCCCATTCATGTTAACTCGTGTTATATTATATTCTATTGTTATATTCTGTTATATATTCTTTACCTGTAGACATACACACAGATATATATACAAACATGGGTGCTTGTTCTGTTTTCAAAAGGTGGGATAATTTTTTATACTTCTGTAGGTTGCTTTTCATATTCAACAGATACACAAGGAAATTACACTAAGTTAGGAATTTATTGCCTCTTTGTTACTTTTCATAGCTGCAGAGTAGTCCATAAACCTTATTATTATTATTTTTTAATTCCAGCCTGTCCCCTGTGGGCATTCACATATCTTACAGATTTATGTCTCACAAAAGGTGCCATAATAAACATCTTTGAGCATCTTCTTTTTTTTCTTTTTTCTTTTTCATTTTTTTTTTTAAAAGAGATGGGGTCTCGCTATGTTGACCAGGCTGGTCTCTAACTCCTGGCCTCAAGTGATCCTCCCATCTCAACCTCCCGAAGTGCTGGGGTTACAGGCATGAGCCACCAGACCCAGCCCTGCACATATGTTCTTTCTTCCTGGTGCTTCTGTCTCCCCATTTGGGTAGATCATTAGGAGAGGGAATGCTGGGTTGAAGAGGACGTGCTTTTTAAATTATAATAGACATTGCTAGATCCCTTTCCTAATAGAGGATAACACTACATTTCTGCCATTGAGCATAGTGCCTCCCTTTTCTTCACCCTCCACCACTTTTATATGTTACAGCCTTAAAAAAATATCTAGTCAATCTGCGTGGTATTTCCCTGAGGCTAGTGAATTTGACCATTAAAAAATGTTGGCAATTTGGCTTTGCTTTTCTGTGAAATGACTATTCAAATTCTTTGGTTGTTTCTTTATTGGGTTACTTATATATTTTTTCTTGTCAGTTCCTAAGGGGCCTTAGTTTACTGTAGTTATTAAACCTTTTCCTGTTGTGTGTGTTATAACATTTTTTGCATACTTGTTTGTTCTAAGCCATTGTCTATGGGGGTATTTTGCCCATTCTTGATTGCAGAAATGGGGCTTCAGGAAGTTAACTGATCTCTGCCCTAGTTTCTTCATGTGTTAAATATGGATAGTAATAGTATCTACCTTATGAAGTGACTGTGAAGATAAAATTATGGATTCTGTTTAAGGGTTTAGGCCAGTGTCTGGCACAGGGGAAGCATTCTAAAAATACAGCTGATGCTGTTAAACAATGACTGTTGTTGTTGTTTTACTGTTATTATCCCCAAAGCGGCCCATTCTGTCTGTTGCTGTCAGCTATGACTCAGTCCCCTGATTAACTTACCCACCACCCATTTTATCCCCTGCAGAGATGCTGCCCCCACCCCCTTAGGCCCGAGGGATCAGGAGCTATGGGGCCAGGGGCCCTCTCGTCTTTACTGCTGCTGCTCTTGGTGGCAAGTGGAGATGCTGACATGAAGGGACATTTTGATCCTGGTGAGGAGACTGAATGATGGGTCCCTGAGGGCCAGGGCTTGGGAGGTAGAGAGTTGGGGGCCTTGACCTGTTACATGCCTGCTTTTTACTCAGCCAAGTGCCGCTATGCCCTGGGCATGCAGGACCGGACCATCCCAGACAGTGACATCTCTGCTTCCAGCTCCTGGTCAGACTCCACTGCCGCCCGCCACAGCAGGTACTTGGCACACCTGATACACCTGCAGCTGCCCCGAGGGGAGCCCCTGGGACCTCTACTTCCCCTCCAACCCCTCTGCCCATGCCAGTGAAAGCCCTGCAGTCTGAGGGGCGAATGAAGTGGGGTTTAAGTACTGGAGATAGAGGCAGACCTGGGGCCAGATGTTCTCTGTACCCCTCTTCACCCTCTCAGGTTGGAGAGCAGTGATGGGGATGGGGCCTGGTGCCCCGCAGGGTCGGTGTTTCCCAAGGAGGAGGAGTACTTGCAGGTGGATCTACAACGGCTGCACCTGGTGGCTCTGGTGGGCACCCAGGGACGGCATGCTGGGGGCCTGGGCAAGGAGTTCTCCCGGAGCTACCGGCTGCGTTACTCCCGGGACGGTCGCCGCTGGATGGACTGGAAGGACCGCTGGGGTCAGGAGGTGAGGCTGGCAGAGGCAGCACCCAGAGGAGGTTGATTTTCCTCACTTCCAGCTGTACTGTAAACACCACCTATACACTGACGACCCTCCAGTTTATATAATCGCCAGCCCAAGCCTCTCAGCTGAGCTCCAAACAGTATTGCAAACCTGGCTACCTTTTGGACTTCTTCACCTAGATGTCCTTTTTTTTTTTTTTTTTTTTAAACAGATGGGGTCTTGCTATGTTGCCCAGGCTGGTCTTGAACTCCTGGGCTCAGCGATCTTCCCACCTTAGCCTCCCAAAGTGCTGTGATTACAAGCATTGTAGCCAGCCACCTAGATGTCTAATAGGCATCTCAAACGTACCTTTAATTTCCCAAGCTGAATTTGATTCCCATTCCTAACCTAAACCTGCTCCTCCCCTGGCATTCTCCAGCTCAGGAAGTGGTATCACCATTGCCTGGTTGCCTAGGCTATAAGCTAAGATGATATCCTTGATTCCTCTTTTTCTCTCACCTCCTTCCAAAGCATCAGCAGCCCAGTCCGTTCTACCTCCATAGTGTTCCTGAGTCCAGTCACTCCTCACCACTCCACCTCTACTGCCCTAGGCCACCCGCCCACCATCTCCAGCTTAGATGAGTGCAGTAGATGCCAAATCGGTCTCCCTGCTTCTGCCCTTTTCTGCGTGGAGCCAGATTTCCACCTGGGGAGCTGCATCAAGTGGACCTTAAAGCATGTCAATCAGATACATCACACCTAGCCGACACCCCTGTGCTGGCTTTCCACTCTGCCAGAACAAAAGCTGAGCCCCTAGCTGGTGCGGGATGCTCAGCCTGACCTGGCTCCTGCCTGCATCACTGGCTCCTTGCGCCTCCTTGGCCACACTGCCGTTCTCGTTGTTGCTGGAACAAGCCAGGGCTCGTTCCCACAGCTTCCGGACGTTTTTTCTGTGCCTGCAAAGCTCCTCCCGCAAATAACCACAGGCTCTCCCTCACCCCATTCAGTTCTCCGCCAGGTGTCACCTCCTCAGAGAGCCTTTTCCGGCCACCCACCGCACTGCTCTGTCCATACACCCTGCCTCTTGTTCTTCGCAGCTGTTTCCCTTGCTGGGATTTCAGTCCTGCAAGGGCGGGGAGTGACGTTCACCACTGAGGACGTGCCTGGCACAGAGCGGGCACTCACCCACCTTCTGCTGAATGAACAGAGGGAATGGGCTGAAATGAAGGGGAAGCTGAGGCAGGGGTGCAGGGCTGTGAGGACTGGGGAGAATCTGGGCACAATGGGAGGATAGGCTGGGAGACAAATGGATGGAGCCAGACAAGGAGAAGAGGGCAGCTGAGCCTGGAGTCTGAGGACAGAACATCAGAGCTGCAAGAGGGCCAGAGGTCTCAGCTGCAGATCTTCATTTCACCCATGCCTGGCTGCGCCCCACAGTGCTGTGTGCTCGGTGCCACCCCTCACGGGTCTCTAAGTGGCCACTGTGGGCTGGGCCAGGGAGCAGCTGGTGGCTGGGAAGTAAAATCTGACCTGGACCCCTTCCCACGCACCCCGTTTCCTGGCCCACAGGTGATCTCAGGCAATGAGGACCCTGAGGGAGTAGTGCTGAAGGACCTTGGGCCCCCCATGGTTGCCCGACTGGTTCGCTTCTACCCCCGGGCTGACCGGGTCATGAGCGTCTGTCTGCGGGTGGAGCTCTATGGCTGCCTCTGGAGGGGTGAGTGGCCCAGCTCCCTGGAAATCTGTTTCCTGAGCAGGGGAGTGCAGGGTGGGGCGTGTGGAGAATGGGCATCCAGGATTCCCTTTCTCCTGCTGGGAAACTGTCACTCTGAGGAGGGGGCTAGCTGGCATTGTCTCCTCCATGCCAATGTGCCAGTGGAGAGATACGAGAAGGGACCTGAAACCTGCCCAGGCCTGATGCAGGGATGGGGGATGGAGCCTTCGTGCCTCTGATCCCCATCCTCTCACCCTGCCCCAGATGGACTCCTGTCTTACACCGCCCCTGTGGGGCAGACAATGTACTTATCTGAGGCTGTGTACCTCAACGACTCCACCTATGATGGACATACCATGGGCGGGTAAGAAAGACCCCTGCAGGACGTGGAGTTTGGGGTGGGAGGGAGGACTGTGTGTGTGTGTAGGGGGGATGGTGAGTAGGGTGGGGAATGAGATGGAAGAATTGAGAAGAGGGATAGGTTAGGTGGGGCCTCAGAGGGTAGGACTTGGGTGACCACTAGCCCATATGACACTGTACAAAAAAGGCACCTCTTTGCTAACACACATTGTTGGAAATTGCTGCAATAAATATGCACATCACAGATTGAAATGGTGCCCCTTAGAGGTGGTGGTGTGCTGGATGTGACCTGCAAAGTACCTGTGATACAGCTGGGGTAGGGGTGGAGAGAAGAGCAGAGCCAGCTGCATGAGTGTGGGGTGGGGTGGGAATGGGACTAGTGGACGGGAGCCAGGCTTGCCAGGCCACTGTGCCGGGGGGTGACGGGGCAGAGTGGCTGGATATTAAGACCCTCTTCCCTTCCAACTTCCTCTTCCTTGGTCCCTTCTCCAGATTGCAGTATGGGGGTCTGGGCCAGCTGGCAGATGGCGTGGTGGGGCTGGATGACTTTAGGAAGAGTCAGGAGCTCCGGGTCTGGCCAGGCTATGACTATGTGGGATGGAGCAACCACAGCTTCTCCAGTGGCTACGTGGAGATGGAGTTTGAGTTTGACCGGCTGAGGGCCTTCCAGGCCATGCAGGTGAGTGAGTCCGGCTCTCGAGGAGGGCTCTGAAGCCATGGGTGGTGCCGTTGGGGTGCTCCCAGCACTCCTAGCCTTGACCTTGTGCCCTCTTCCCTTCCCTCCAGGTCCACTGTAACAACATGCACACGCTGGGAGCCCGTCTGCCTGGCGGGGTGGAATGTCGCTTCCGGCGTGGCCCTGCCATGGCCTGGGAGGGGGAGCCTATGCGCCACAATCTGGGGGGCAACCTGGGGGACCCCAGAGCCCGGGCTGTCTCAGTGCCCCTTGGTGGCCGTGTGGCTCGCTTTCTGCAGTGCCGCTTCCTCTTTGCGGGGCCCTGGTTACTCTTCAGCGAAATCTCCTTCATCTCTGGTAAGTCCCTGAAACTGATAACTGATTTCATTTCTAACCCTGCAGTGTCCCCAAAATATTCATTCCTTGCATCATATCCACCCATCACCCACTGAAACTTCTCAATTAGGGGTACCCCAAATAGCTTGAGCCCCTTTCTGCCTCCTTTTCCCTGCATATCCATCTTTCCTTTGTAAGCCCCTCGCCCATGACTGTTACTGAGCTAGTATGACAGTATTGGTTGTTAAAATATTGAAATACTTCTGTATTAGTTGAGAAATACCCTCTAAGCCTCCAGATAACTGTCCTTCGCTTCCCCACAGTCCAGCAACTATAGGGTTAACACCCACCACAGCTGGGGACTTCCAGGACCCTGCTCCCCCAACCCCCACTGGTCAGTGGTTGTCTATTGAGAATCACCCATGCTTCTGCTCCTTTGCACAGCAATCCACTGCCTCCCTTGGGTCTCCTCCTCATTTACCTCCCTCCTTTCTTTTTGTTCCTTCTCCCCAGATGTGGTGAACAATTCCTCTCCGGCACTGGGAGGCACCTTCCCACCAGCCCCCTGGTGGCCGCCTGGCCCACCTCCCACCAACTTCAGCAGCTTGGGTGAGCAGCCTTGGGTGGGCGTGTGGACCCTCTGCACCCTTCTCCCTGGGCCTCCCCCTCGGCTAGGGTGGGACCCTCCTGTGGTGCTGACCCTGCTGCCTCCGCCAGAGCTGGAGCCCAGGGGCCAGCAGCCCGTGGCCAAGGCCGAGGGGAGCCCGACCGCAATCCTCATCGGCTGCCTGGTGGCCATCATCCTGCTCCTGCTGCTCATCATTGCCCTCATGCTCTGGCGGCTGCACTGGCGCAGGCTCCTCAGCAAGGTGGGCACAGCTGCGGCCTGTGGAGTGGTGGGGGGAGGCCAGGCCCCAGCACGAGCCAGGGTCCAGTGGGGCCTGCAGGGCACAGCCCACTAGCATTCCAAGAGGAGGGCTTAGTAAAGAGACCACTTACACCATGTCAAGGAGGGGATGGGGCTCACAAGGAGGGCTGCTTCCGAGTCCCGGGTCTGCTCAGCGGAGAGGAGGCGGCAAATACCATGACCCAGAGGAGAGAGTCTGTGGAGAGGGTGCCTTGACAGGGGCAGTAGACTTTGGTCCTGGGATGCAGCTGGCCCGTGCCTACCCATCAGGGAGGGCCTGGGAGAATAGATGCCCTGACTTCACTTTCTGCCCCAAATTCCTGCCGGGCTCCTCTCTGGCCAGCCCAAACGAGGCCTGTTGGTACAGTCTACACTGGTCAGCCTTGGGGCAGAAGCAGGGTGGAGACAGGCAGAGAGTGGGGCTGGAGGGGCAAAGGGAAGATGTCTGGCACACCCCAGGCCATGTCTTCCAGTTGGAGTCCAATGGCAGGAATATACATTAAGGTTGATGGCTGGACACGGTTGCTCACGCCTGTAATCCTAGCACTTTGGGAGGCCGAGGCAGGAGGATCACCTGAGGTCAAGAGCTCGAGACCAGCCTGGCCAACATGGTGAAATCCCCCATCTCTACTAGAATACAAAATTAGCCAGGCATGGTGGCTCATGCCTGTAATCCCAGTTACTCGGGACGCTGAGGCATGAATCTCTTGAACCCGGGAGGTGAAGGTTGCAGTAAGCTGAGATCGCGCCATTTCACTTCAGCCTGGGCGACAAGAGCAAAATTCCATCTCCAAAAACAAACAAACAAACAAACAAACAAACAAAAAAAGGTCGATAGTTATGGACTGGGCAGATGAGGGTTGGAATCTCATTGTGGGACAGGGAGGTTACCTCCATGCTCTTGAGCTTCAGTTTCTCTACTTGTTAAAGATGGTGCTGATAGTATCTACAGCTGTAGGGCTCTTGTGAGGGCTGAGGGAGGCAACGCAGGGATGGACACAGCAGAGGGCCAGGCCGTGTGTGCTGAGCAACACGGGTGATGCCTCCCATCCCCATGACAAGGCTGAACGGAGGGTGTTGGAAGAGGAGCTGACGGTTCACCTCTCTGTTCCTGGGGACACTATCCTCATCAACAACCGCCCAGGTCCTAGAGAGCCACCCCCCTACCAGGAGCCCCGGCCTCGTGGGAATCCGCCCCACTCCGCTCCCTGTGTCCCCAATGGCTCTGGTAAGACTCGCCTTGTTCCAGTCGCACCTCTGTCCTCTCTGCTGTTTTCTTACTGTAACCCTTTCCCATTCTCTTTTTTCCCTGTCTTCCCCAGTTTCCACGTGTTTTCTTCTTTCCGTGCCCCTGGTTACTGCCTATATCACTCTTTGTCCCTATCATGTAGTGTCTCTCAAGAGTTCCGCATGTATTACCCACAGTCCCCCGTGTTCCTATCCCGTCTGTGTCCCACAGACATCTCTCTTTGTTGTACCCTCTCATTGTGTCTCCCTGGCCCCTCTGCTTTGTATTAGACTCACCATGTTTGTTCCTTCTATCCATCCATCTTCCATCACCCATCCTTCCTTCCATAGCCATACACCCTTGCATCCATCCATCAATCCTCCATCATCTATCCTTCTGTCTATATTCATAAATCTATTCATCCATCCATCCACCCATATCCATCATCCATCTATATTCATACATCCATCTATCCATCTATTATCCATCCATCCAACAAAGCATCTGTTTACCATCCATCCATCTATTCATATATCCCATCTGTCCATCCATTCATTATCCAGCCAGCCATCCGTCACTCTGCAGATCCTTGTTTTATCCTGTCTGTCTCTTAATGCAGTCATCCCATCAGCCCTGGTCTTGCCCTATTCAAGGTCTCCCTGTCTGTCTAGCCTTGAGTCTCATCCCCTCCCCGTGTTTCCCCTCCTCCTTCTCCCGACAGCGTTGCTGCTCTCCAATCCAGCCTACCGCCTCCTTCTGGCCACTTACGCCCGTCCCCCTCGAGGCCCGGGCCCCCCCACACCCACCTGGGCCAAACCCACCAACACCCAGGGTAAGCCCCTCTGCCCCTGGGCTCCGCCAGGCTCCCCATACCTCTACTGGGGCAGGGAAAAGCCCTCACACCTTGCACTTCCTCCTCTGCCCACTGTGGCCTCTTCTGCTCTCCTGAGCTCCCAAGGAGGAAGCTCTTGTGACCTTAGCTCATCTCTGCTGCTGCTTGCTCTTTTTAAAGCCCCCCACCTTGAGCTGAAGAGTAGAAAGCTTACTGGTCCCCAGCTCTTCTCCCTCCTCCTCTTCCACACCGTCTCTTCGGCATTCCAGAGCTAGACAGGAGGTTGCCGTGGTGGCCCCAGACTATTGTAACTCCTCCTTTATTCTCTGCTCTCTCTAGAGCTGTGAGGAGGAGGGCTCTCACCCCGGCGCTTGCCCTCTCCCCCACATGTGTCCTCTCTCTGCAGTCCCAGAGGTGAAGGCTCACGCCCCGACCCTTTCCGTCTGCCCCTCCTGTCCTCGGTGTTGCCTTCTCATTGTGGCCCCTTCCCCAGGGCTAAGAGGGGACAGCTCTGCTTCCTCTCTTGTCTGTAGACAACTTGTGTTGGGACTGTGAGCAGCTGTTATCCTCCCTCCTCTCTGTGTGCCTGTCTCTGCTTGTCATTGAGCTTGGTGTGTTGGGTTGAAAGGGCTGGGAGGGCTTGGCCCCAGGAGGAGCCAGGCAGTAGCCATGGGAGAGCAGCTAAGTGAAGGGGAGGCAGCTGTGGTGAACGGGACAAGGGTTTGGAAGGTGGAGGGTGCCTGGATGCTGGGACTATCCTGAGGTGGGAGAATTCCTGGGGAAAAATTCTTCCAGCCAAGATTTATCTCATGGTCTCTTGAGAGACCCTAGGGAGGCCCTAAAGAGTAAGACTTTATGACAGTTTTGCTCAACCATATTCATTGCCTTGAAAACCTCTGGAATAGCTAACTCTCATCCCATGCCAGTGTCTTCCTGGTTTGAGGTCGGTGCATGGAATACTGGGAAGATACAGCATAGACCCAGTTTCTCACTCGACTGGGAGACACGGGGCCCTCCGGGAGGCTGAGCTGTGGGGAACTATAGCTCTCGGGCTGTTCCTGATGCCTCGTCCTGTCTTCTTTCCCCTCACCCCTGCAGCCTACAGTGGGGACTATATGGAGCCTGAGAAGCCAGGCGCCCCGCTTCTGCCCCCACCTCCCCAGAACAGCGTCCCCCATTATGCCGAGGCTGACATTGTTACCCTGCAGGGCGTCACCGGGGGCAACACCTATGCTGTGCCTGCACTGCCCCCAGGGGCAGTCGGGGATGGGCCCCCCAGAGTGGATTTCCCTCGATCGAGGCTCCGCTTCAAAGAGAAGCTTGGCGAGGGCCAGTTTGGGGAGGTAAGGAGGGTGCCTACCCAGCCATCAGTAGTGTCTGGCCTATTGGGTGCTCTGATGCCATGCCTGCACATTCCCCTGGCCAGGAACCTTAGTCATTTGTGACCATGTTAATCCGTTTGACCCTGTGATCGCCTAGCAAATGAACTTCTTTCTCCAGGTGCACCTGTGTGAGGTCGACAGCCCTCAAGATCTGGTCAGTCTTGACTGCCCCCTTAATATGCGTAAGGGACACCCCTTGCTGGTAGCTGTCAAGATCTTACGGCCAGATGCCACCAAGAATGCCAGGTGAGGACCAGGGATGGCATCTGGAAGAAGGGACGGGAGGCCATGAAGAGTGGGGAGCCACCTGGAGAGAACAATGGCAGAGCTCAACAGAGGGGTGGCGTTTCTGGGAGGGGATTTGCATGTACGCTGGGGGTGGGGACGCCTGGTCCACCTGAGGAAGGAGGTGGGCCGGGGAAGGTGCAGGCCGCCCACTCGGCATTCCTCTTCACCTTCTCCTTGTTCTCCAGGAATGATTTCCTGAAAGAGGTGAAGATCATGTCAAGGCTCAAGGACCCAAACATCATCCGGCTGCTGGGCGTGTGTGTGCAGGACGACCCCCTCTGCATGATTACTGACTACATGGAGAACGGCGACCTCAACCAGTTCCTCAGCGCCCACCAGCTGGAGGACAAGGCAGCTGAGGGGGCCCCTGGGGATGGGCAGGCTGCGCAGGGGCCCACCATCAGGTACCTGCTTACCCAGGCTGGGCCTTGCTGAGAATTCCCCAAGGGGGTCTCTTCCTCTCCCCTTGCTTCAGCCTCGAGGAAAAGAGGGGAGCATGGGGGTAGGAAGGCAGGGAGAGGTTCCAGGAGGGCCTGGAATAAGGAACGTGTGACAAGTTAATCCAGGAACATGGACAGAAAGGCTGGAGGTGACTACGCAAGAGTAGTGAAGGGACTTGGGCCCTGCCATGATGTTCCTTCTGCTTTCTGTCACCCTCACTCCCCTCTGAGTCCAGATTGGGGAGCACAATGGAAGAAGAGCCCCCTAGGGTTGGCTAGGCCTGGAAGATTGAGACGGAAGTGACCCTTGGCCTCACATGGGCATGCCACCTCCACATGGGGAACCGGAGTGACCGGGCCCGGGGAGTGGGCGCTCTCTCCTCTCCTGGATGGGAATCTGCGAAGCTGCCCCCAGTGACCTTCTGTTGGTTCCCTTCTCAGCTACCCAATGCTGTTGCATGTGGCAGCCCAGATCGCCTCCGGCATGCGCTATCTGGCCACACTCAACTTTGTACATCGCGACCTGGCCACGCGGAACTGCCTAGTTGGGGAAAATTTCACCATCAAAATCGCAGACTTTGGCATGAGCCGGAACCTCTATGCTGGGGACTATTACCGTGTGCAGGGCCGGGCAGTGCTGCCCATCCGCTGGATGGCCTGGGAGTGCATCCTCATGGTGAGCAGCCCGAGGACAGCCAGGTTGGGGCAGGGCAGGTGGGAGAACACTGGCCGCCACTCGCAGCCCTGGTCTCCATCAGTCATGCACTTTCTCTGGGTTGCATTTTACAGAATCTCATCTGTAAAATGAGGTTCTCCTAGCCCAAGGGACTGGGGAAAGCAGGAGCTGCAGTGTGATGGGCAAGAGTCCAGGAGCCAAGAGTGGGTACTGGGGTTGGAGACAGGGTGGCAGAGAGCTCAAGAGACAAGGTAGGGGGAGGAAGCTGGAGACAGAAGGGGGTGCGTAGGGAGACTGAGGGTCAGGACCAGAAAGTGGGGGTGGATGGAGAGGAAGGAGTAGCAGAAGGAAGAGGTGGGCCAGGGCCCTGGAGAGAGGACCAGAGCATGGAGAGGAAAGGCAGAACCCGAGGGAGAGGAGTTGAAAAAGGTGGCCAGCGGAGCAGAGTGGAGAGCCTGGCGTTGGGAGGGATCAGGCCTGAGTGGAGCCCAGAGTGGATCTGGGGCTTCCGACAGGAAGGGAGGAGGGTCTGTGTTGCCTGATGTCTGTTTTTGCTGCCTTCTCTGCATCCCAGGGGAAGTTCACGACTGCGAGTGATGTGTGGGCCTTTGGCGTGACCCTGTGGGAGGTGCTGATGCTCTGCAGGGCCCAGCCCTTTGGGCAGCTCACCGACGAGCAGGTCATCGAGAACGCGGGGGAGTTCTTCCGGGACCAGGGCCGGCAGGTCAGAGTGGAGGGGAAGGAAGATGGGTCCAAGGTGGGGGACAGAAGGGGCAGTTGTCATCTTGGAGACTAAAGAATATTTGTCCCCTGCCTCTCATCCACACTGCCACAATGCAGGTGTACCTGTCCCGGCCGCCTGCCTGCCCGCAGGGCCTATATGAGCTGATGCTTCGGTGCTGGAGCCGGGAGTCTGAGCAGCGACCACCCTTCTCCCAGCTGCATCGGTTCCTGGCAGAGGATGCACTCAACACGGTGTGAATCACACATCCAGCTGCCCCTCCCTCAGGGAGCGATCCAGGGGAAGCCAGTGACACTAAAACAAGAGGACCCAATGGCACCTCTGCCCTTCCCCTCCCGACAGCCCATCACCTCTAATAGAGGCAGTGAGACTGCAGGTGGGCTGGGCCCACCTAGGGAGCTGATGCCCCTTCTCCCTTTCCTGGACACGCTCTCATGTCCCCTTCCTGTTCTTCCTTCCCAGAAGCCCCTGTCACCCACCCAGCTGGCCCTGTGGATGGGATCCTCTCCAACCTCCTCTAGCCCTCCCTTGGGGAAGGGTGGGGGGAAATATAGGATAGACACTGGACATGGCCCATTGGAGCACCTGGGCCCCACTGGACAACACTGATTCCTGGAGAGGTGGCTGCGCCCCCAGCTTCTCTCTCCCTGTCACACACTGGACCCCACTGGCTGAGAATCTGGGGGTGAAGAGGACAAGAAGGAGAGAAAAATGTTCCCTTATGCCTGCTCCGGGACTTGTTCTCAGCTTGGGCTTCTTCCACCTCCATCACCTGAAACACTGGACCTGGGGGTAGCCCCGCCCCAGCCCTCAGTCACCCCCACTTCCCACCTGCAGTCTTGTAGCTAGAACTTCTCTAAGCCTGTATGTTTCTGTGGAGTAAATATTGGGATTAGTGGGAAAGAGGGAGCAACAGCCTGTAGCCTTGGGGTTGGACATCTCTAGTGTAGCTGCCACATTGATTTTTCTATAATCACTTGGGGTTTGTACATTTTTGGGGGGAGAGACACAGATTTTTACACTAATATATGGACCTAGCTTGAGGCAGTTTTAATCCCCTGCACTAGGCAGGTAATAATAAAGGTTGAGTTTTCCACAACTGTGTGAGTGGGTTCCTTGGTAACTGCCTCCTGCACCTCCCTCTGAACCCACTTCCCATCTTCCTTTTTTCCTCCCTCTCCCCATTCCATTTCCCATCACCTATTTTGCCCAGCATTGTGTTCTGTTTCTGCATAATCCAGGCCTTTGCCTGTGGGACCTCAGGTGATGCATGAATGTCTGAGTACATGAACCTTCTCAACTCATAGGGGTGCTCTGCTGGAGGCCTGGAGGGAATGCAGTCAGGCCAGGGGTGCTGAACCTTTTTTGTGCCATAAACCCATTTGGCAGTGTGTAGCGGTCTACTGAGTACTCCTCAGAATTAGGTTTTAAAACCTATAAAATGGGCCAGGTGCAGTGGCTCACCCTTGTAATCCCAGCACTTTGGGAGGCTGAGGTGGGTAGATCAGTTGAGTCCAGGAGTTTGAGACCAACCTGGCCAACATAGTAAAACCCCATCTCCACTAAAGATACAAAAATTAGCATGGCGTGGTGGCATGCACCTGTAATCTCAGCTACTCAGGAGGCTGAGGCAGGAGAAATGCTTAGAACCCGGGAGGTGGGGGTTGCAGTGAGCTGAAATCACACTACTGTGCTCCAGCCTGGGCAACAGAGTGAGACTCTCAAAAACAAAACAAAAACAAAACCCGTAAAATGTATAGGATTATAAAGGAAACCAATGGAAACAGTTTACCAAACTGCTAAAAAATTATGAAACTAATGTGCTGCTTTTTAATGTATTTAATAAGATCTAAAAACAGGTGTAATAAACTACTGACACTTTTCAAATACTAATGAGCATAAACCATATTTGAGATTTCTACAACAATCACAGTGAGCCATAAAAGTAGCTGTGGCGTCAGTGACAAGTCACAGGTACTGCTAATACTACTGGTGGTTTTACCCATATTCATAATTGAAGGAAATGCTAAATTTCTATTAGAGATTAGTAAAAGGTGTAATTCTTTTTCTTGTCCAAATTTTAGAACCCATCTGGCTCCCCAGGGTCTGGAAATTCCAGGGGAGAATCCCTGGGTTATGCTGATAGAGTGTGCAAATGCCCCAGTGGGGGCGGGGGATGGGTTGTTGGAATGGAAACCAGAACCAAGAGCCTCTCAGCAGCTTGGAAGGATGAGCTGCAACCATCAAGAGAGCAATTAACAAAGGGTTCAAATTTGGTTGGAAAGAAAAAATTGGCCAGCAGGGTGGCTCATGCCCTGTAATCCCAACACTATGGAAAGCTGAGGTGGGAGGATTTCTTGAGCCTAGGAGTTTGGAACCAGCCTGGGCAACATAGTGAGCCCACTCTGGCCCCCATTTCTTAAA